CAATGCTGGAAACCATTCCAAGAGGCGGCAGATGGTTTTACAGTTTATGTAAAACTACAAAATGCTCACACTCGATCAAATGGGCACCACTATAAAAGACATCTTCAAATCAAATGAGGCAAAGTCAACGAGATACACCAGCTGTTCCTCTGCATAATTAAAAACATAATAGTAACATCACTATGATTTGTTTTGAAGGAGAATATTTGGATTTCATGAAGTCAATACATTCAAAACTGAAATGACAGTCTGCTATATTAAATGATAAATTGCTAAGAAACATAACTTTTACTTCAATACACCTGTGATAGCTACATAATCCTATCCCCTGGTACTTTGGTGAATCAGGCCAAAATGAACCCAGGTCTATAGAGCAAAATATGGAACATACAGTTACAGTACAATCACTGGAAAATTTTTTAATAATTTTAATTGAATTTTTAAATTACTTTTATTCAATTTAAAATTATTCTCTTCAAGTGACTTTTTACTATCTAAATATATACAAATGTGTATAGTACTACACATGGAACTGGTTCACTTATGAAAACATACATAATACATTTAAAATATGAGATCAATTCATTTCCTTCTAGTACCAATTACCTGTGATGGCTTTGAAATATAAACATTTAGTAGCGTGCAATATATTTTTAATATTGGTTTTCATTAATGTCTTTTTACCTAAGCTAAATAGTAATGATGAAAAATAGACTATTTGCTTCAAAGTAAACCTCTTATTAAATCTAAAATATTATGGCACAAAATCAAACCACAAAAAGAACCACTGTATACTATCCCCCTTGATTTTCTGAAGAAAAATAATGAAAGTCTCTACATAGTACAAACGAAAATGAGACACTCAAATTAACCTAGGCAAAGAGAAATTCTATAAAATTAACTCCAAAGTATTGCAAAGTACTCCAAGTTAGTGTAATTTCTAATACCTTGACTGTAATCCTAACAAGTTACTACATTATTTCAATTAACAGAGTAACTTTTCTAGGGTGAAAATAAGTGCAATTTATTTTGTCAATGTTGTTAAAACTTCTTGTCAGCTCAACCTTTGAGTTGAAAGGCCTGAGTAATTCTAGTCTATCTTAAACTGTAACTTTATTTTAAACTTCCGTATTTTCTTCCAGTAGAATTTAAAGTATACACTGTGTGCATTCCTCAGGTCCAGTCATATTAAATTCTGATGTTAAGCAGAAAGGGGAAACCATGTGCGGACTAGATTAATTTATCTCAAGGGAAAAGGGGCACATTAATAATGGAGATAATGTTTTCATAAATGTTGGAATCAAATGTGCCTTTTCACTTCTTTATTAGAAAACACATTAGGACAAAATTATCTCACTCTCATCAATAAGACCTAGTTGCTGAGAAAGACTATGTTTTCTTTGCAAAACATTTAGAAAGGTTTTTCCCATTATGGCCAAATAGCTAGAAATACATCATGCATCCAAGTCTGGCTGGAATAAATGTATACAAGAAAGGCAAGAGATTATTTAATCTATCCAGTTATATTTCTATTTTAAGGTATCTAAATTCACTATTTTTGTAAAATACATTAAAATTCTGATTCTAAAAGAAATTGGCCCCCCCAAAATGATAAATTTGACTTTTAACTTGTTAACATCTTTAAAGCACACAAAAAAATTTTGCCTTGGATTATTGCTAAAAAAGAAAAATTCTTAGAATTTCCCTAAAGAGGTACCCTAAAGAGTCAAAACATAATGAAGGTAGTGGTATGATATTTAACTTTCATAAAATTATATTTTTATGAACCAGCATTATACACAAAGAAAATATTAACTAAAAGATGACATCACACTTACAAACCAATCAAGCTCTCCATAGCTGATATACTTTAAATATTAAAAAAAAGTCATTTTTCTAAAAAAAATAAAGTTTTTAAAAATTAAACAAAAAGACTAACTAAGGTGAATCTGTTTCTGTAATAAGCCTTCATGTGTATAATAAAGTCCAACCATACTAAAAACAATGAACTGTAAACTGAAACAAAAATCCATCATCTACTTGGAAACAGTGATGGGAAAAGATTAGCAATCCATTTATTGTACTGAAATAAAGATAAGTAACCTTAGTAAGATCCATCAGGATCTGTGTATTGAACTCTAAATATAAAGACATTTCTTCATCAGCAAGTGACGAAAAAATGTGAGAAAGAGAAACGATTCCAGTTAACATTTACAATGCAATAGTCATGATTCAATTCTTTTAAATTTTTCAAGATCTGCTTTATGTCGATCTGTATTCTAGAAGGTATTTTTAAAAGTATGTTTTCAAAATGGATAATTACTACATGAGTCATTAAACAATTATTGCCAAGAGTTTCCTATAGACCTACAGTGTATTCCAATTACTGATTCTTTCTAATATAAAAAATATAATAATTAAAATTTTTTTCACAATAAAATTTAGATTTGAAAAGAAAGACTAAAGTCTAAGGAACAATTCAACATTTAGAATTTTGTTATAAATGTAACTTAATCCAAATAGTCACATTTCATAAAAGTAATATATTATAATGCTTAAAAATTAAAAATAAAGTTATACCTCATATTTTAAAAATAATCATACTAGTAAAAATCTGAAACCTAAGTTACCTGACCTCAGTCATTCATATTTTATATGATCTCCCGGAAGTCTGATACATTTTACATTGTCACAGTTTTAATATTTCTTCAGTCCCCTAAAGGCATGTCATTATAACTATCCTTACAGATGATAAACAGATTACGTCCTTTTTAGAAGTAGACCATTCAAGCATAAACCCAACAAGTATTATTTTTAAACACAGAATCAAGTCTATGCACTAATCCCCAACACACTCAACTCACATACCTCAAGCAACAGATAAAACTCACTCTATCCACCAAAGCATCACCACCACCAACAAATTAAATTCCCTGGTCTCTTTACTGCAACAGAATTTTAACTTCATCAAGTACAAGTAAAGGTACAGAAGAAAGACTCCATAGTTTTCAATATTGATATAAATCATCATTTTCTACCTATACAGTGGTTTCCTGGCAACATCCCAATCATTCAAAGCCTTTGAGGAGAACAAAAACCAACAATGACAATAAACTATGGGATTTTTTACATGATTGTGGCTTTGTCCCTGGCACTCTAAAAATAGATAGGCACTGAATTCAAGGCATCAGAGGGCAATATAATAGCGCTCAGTTTTAACATTTTCAGACAGAATAAATCTGTACACTAAACAATTGCTTTACAATTTCCTCAGAAAAGTATTGGCAGACCTTCAACTGTATGGTACAGAGTTCCTAATAACACCACTGGAACATGAAAAGTGCCTGGAATTGTTTTACAAACTTTAAACCACACTGGAGGTTACAACTAATTAGTCAGAAACAAAAACCAACTAGGAAACATTTCAGAACCAGATGCTTTATTTCCCACTTCTCAGTTTTTCCTACCCCAAAATGCTGATGTCTAACTTGCCTCAATGTATCAACCATCTTCTTCTGCCCCATTTCCCTATATAAAATTATGTTTAAAAAAAAAGCACTATTTGGTAACGTAAACATGCTTCTATGTTCCCCTCATTCAAGAATCCTAATCTGAAAGACTGAAAATGTAACTGTTTTCCAATAACAGTTTAGGTGTGAATTGGAACCTGGGAGCCTGGGCCCAATGCACCAGTGGATACCTCTATGGTACATAGCCCAACAGCTACCAAGAAGTCATCTTGGGCTGTTGTCTATGAGCTCATGGATTTAGCTCCTCCTCCATCAAAGGTGGCTTTGCAGACACAAGCCATAGTAGCCCACTGCCAATAGTCATGTAAGTGTTCTGGAGACCAAGTCATAGTGCTGGCCAGAGAAGGTGCTCAGCAAAAATCTGAGCAGATTATTGAATCCCATGAGTTTAGTTAGTGACTACAGGGCAGCTCGCAATGGGAACGGTCATCTTGCAGGATACTGAGCCAAGTGTGGGGTGCAAGTTGTTGCAGAAATGACCCATTAATGGAGCCCTAAGGTCCATGACAACTTGGCCCCTGGCATTTAAAAATATTTATTTTCTGGCTAATCCCATTCCATTATATTCCCTGGTCTCGGTCAGATTTACATATCGCTTAAGGGTAAGATTTATGGCACCTTATTTTCACAAACAACTCTGCAGTGGTAGGAGTATTCAAAATTGGTGGGGGGAGGACCTGTATTAAGAGTCTTATCTCTTTCAGAATGGACCTCAGTAATCAACCGTGAAGCTCTGAGACAAATCTCAGGTTAATATGTTTCAAATACATTGTTGATTTTTAAGTAACAGCATCAGGTAAGATTGTACAGTTGAAGTACTATCAATTGGGTTACACTGAACCGCTTCAGAGTTTTTCCTACAGTATGATTTTCTATCTTTGTTGAAGCCTGAACAGTTGTACTTCGTCAGAGAAGAAGCAGAATTTGTGATTTCTGATTCACAATATAATCTTCCTTTACTTTGGGCACTTTGAAAGTTGTGGAATGTGTTATAGTCTCTTACACTTGGCGTTTACCGAATTGTCTATATTGGAGAAAATGAGCCTGATTCTCCTTCCTTCTGTTTATGCTTATGTTTCTTCTTGCCCAGTGGACAAACACAAAAACATGTTGGAAGAGCTTAAAAATAGGACACAAAATTCACCTAGCTCACATCCCAATGCCCAACTGCCTCTGTTCTATTTCCTCAGGTGTTTTCTCTTTTTCTCAAGATCAAGGGAGACAAAGGGTCAAATCTATCGCAGCTGACTGGAAGCTTGTTAAGGTGATTCCATCTTCAGAAACCTGTAAGCCTGGGCTACTTCCTGGCTGGGCTGCTATGGGCACCTCTTTTTCTGCAGGTGCTGCAAATACCAGATATTTGAATGACCAGAGAAATCTTGTCTCCACTGCCCTCTGGGGAACAAGGGAGGCTCTATATGGGCCTAGACTCTGCCGGGTGGCAAGGTCCTGGGTGGCCAGGCGACTTACCTCCCAGAGATGCTGCGTGTTCCTCACGGCGCCGGCCTGCACCTTCTCCGGGGGCAGGAGCACGCCCTGGAAGGGCCCGATCCAGGTGCCCTGCTGGATCCTCTGCGCCGCGCAGATGCCGTAGGCCAGGCCGGGCACGGTGCTGGTGCACAGGCACACCTCCCTGGGCAGGTCCCGCAGCCACTCCGGCAGCTCCGGCGGGGGCGCGGCGGCCGCAGCGCTGCTGGTGCCCACGAGCCGGCGCAGCGAGTGCAGTGGCCCATGCATGGGGCACTCGCCATTGCGGTTGTCCGCGCACATGTCGCAACCTGCCGGAGACACGCGATAGGGAGGGGAGGAAAGGGAGAGGGTTAACCCCTGGTAAGCCCCGAGACAACAAGCCTCCCCGCCCGAGTGAGCCACCTGCGAGGGAGGTGACGCCGCGAGGGCGCCGAGGCCCCTGGGAGCAGGGGGAGAGGTGGACTCGACGCTCTCCCTTGGAATTCACCGCGCCCAAATCCTCCTGGTACGGGGTTGAGACCCCGCGGGCCCTCCACAAGCCTCCGGAGCCGTCCTCCAGCCTGCGGATGGCGTCGTCGTCTCCAAGGAACCGACGGGGACGGCTAGCGGCTTCTCCTCCCGGCCTCTGCCCCGCTTCCCTCCCTATTCCCTCTCACCCTCTCCCCTATTCCCGTTCTCCGTGGTGTTTCGAGGTGTGTTTATCGTTGTACCGGGAGGAAAGTGTCTCTCGACCCATCTGGGATCTCGGAGAGATTCTACCTTGGTGGCTTGGCTATGTTTGGTTTTCCTTTCTTTACGAGGAGACTTTCAAAATCACCAGAGCAGACGGGCGACCCTACCCGCCATCCCGGGTCCTCGACCCACGCTCTGCTCCCGCGAGAACGTCCATGCGAGGGGGCGGAGCCGGCCGCAGCCCCGTGGAGCCGCAGTCCCACACCCCAGCCACAGAGGGCGCCCTGGCGCTAGGGGGTCTCTCGAGCGCTGCGGTGGCCCCCGCTCTGGTGGAGCCGGTGGGAGACAGGGGGCATATTCTGGCGGGTTTGGGGTGCCCTGTGCTTGCGTGCAAGCTTTTCCCCGAAGCCTTCCCCCCTCCCCGAGAAAAAACGAACAGCAAATGTAATGATCAAAATAATGGGTCTTTAATGATGAAGATAAAGTTTCCCTGAAGAGGGCCCTAAATCCCGCCCAGACGGTTAATACCGAGGCTAAATGCGATTTTTAAAAAAACATTATAAACTAAGTGAGAGCTTTAGTGAAGCCTTCAGAGCTGCCGGCGCATGAGGGGACCACCCCTCTCCCCCACCCCCAACCCCCGGCCTCACACACACACCACACCCTCTGGGGCGGCTGGCCGTGAACGCCCGGTGTCCCTCGACTCAAACCGGGCAGGAACAGGCCCGGCAGCCGCGGGAAGCAGGCCTGCGGCGACCATGCTGTCGGATCGCAGCGCCCTCCGGGTTATTAATGGGCCTGGCGGAGCCGCCGTGTCTGCGCCCCGGCTCGGCCGACCTGCCTCTGGGACGCGGTCTCGGCGCCCGTCGGCCGGCGACACCGGCCTCTCCGGCCCAGCCTCCCTGGGGAGCCGCGGCGCCCCTGCGCAGCAGAGCCCCGACCGGCAGAGACGGCAAGAGCTGGGCAGCAGCGGATGCGCCAGCACTGGGCGACGGATCAGCCTCTGGGCACTTGTGCCCAGCCTTGGTCACAGCCAGTCCTGGTGGATGGCCCTGGGTGTACTCTACCCGTGCTGGAACACCTGAAATGCCCAAAGGACTCGTGACAAACGAGCCACGGGGCAACCTTCGAGGAACATCTGATGGCAACCCAGCTTGGTGAGTGAGCCCCTGTTTTCCTCAACTGCTTCACAGTGAACTGAAGGTTGACCTCATGAGCATCCTATCTCAGGGAAGAAGGGCTCCAGCCCTCAGCCGGATACTCCTACACTTCTCCCCAAAGAGCCCAGGGAATGAGGGGACCTTTGACTGGAGCCTCTTGAGGGTGTCCCCAGGCCTCTCAAGTGGAAAGTAGCAACCTCTTTCTGCAGGTAGTGCAGTGATTGTGCCCCTTGGACTGCCGTCACACAAAGGACCCCTCTTTCAGCAACACAAACTAACCATCAAAACTGTGCCAGGCTATGCTTTTGACCCTCGAGCCTAGATGGAGGGAGTTATTCTCAACTTCTCCACAATGTACTCACTTCTCACGCCTTCTCAAGTTCCTGATTGTGAAAACAAAAACTTGAAGACGAAGGGGGCATGGAAAGAAAGACAATAAAAACTCACAATTACCAACTGCCTACTATGTGCCAGGCACCCATCTTCATCCAAACAGCCACTATATCATTGTAATATCACGATTCCCATTTTGCAGATGAGGCAAGTGAGGCTTTATGAGCAATATAACTTAACCAAGGACCAGAAACTTAGAAAGGGGCAGAGAAAGATTCACCATCAGGTCTACCTGACTCCAAAAGCCTCCAGATCTAGAGATCTAAGATTAATGAAAGCCAGGAGAATTTTATATCCAAACTTGTAACTCAGTCAATAGAACTGAAATATTTCACTGAAGTCACTATTTGGCGAGGGCGCTACAAAACTGTTGTAGCATGATTGAATTAAAGAGATTTTTCTCTTTTCCACACTCTGGGGTTTGGGGAGGTTAACTTAAGAGGATGATTTAAAAAGTAAGATGATAATGTCCATGATTTTGAATATTAATGCCTAACTTCAGAAGTGGCCTTTCAGCACCTTAGGAAAAATAGCTTAAAACAAAAGACAATAAGCAAAGGCAATATGCCCATAAAAGTAAAAATAAATCAACCCAGGGATTTGATTAACAGACCTTTCCTTTCTAGTTGGCTCAATGAAACAAAGGGTGAGAAGAAAGAGCATTTGGCATTCACTCCCTGACAGTCCATACCAGAGATTCTGTCAACCTACAAGATTACCACAACCTGTAACATCATACCAACTACATCAGCAATAAAATAAGGAGCAAAGGTGCCAACTCCAACCATCACCCATACAAACAAGCATATTCCTGTTTTTTGTTACACGTGATAGAGTATGGCTAGTCCTTTCTCAAAGATTTCTCAAAGTGCTTTCTCCTCTAAAGCACTTCAACTTAGGAACTTTCATTTGTCTCCATGAAGTGTTAAAACAATAGTAGTACTCCGCAGTGACAAGCAGAGGCTCTCCCAATATGTAGAAGAATACTTGCAGGATAGGCAATGCCAATCCACTGTCATTAGTCCATCCAATAGAAGTTATCATCATTTATAAATGACTTCAAGCTACTTCAAAATATTCTACCCCAAAAGCTGACCAATTACATCAAAATACATGTTATTCCTAACAATACTGTTCCTTAATACAAACAGCTTCTGTCATTGAATATATGTGACTTCTGACTTACGTCTCAAGAGTCCCAAAGGAGCCTAAGGATGGCTAAAACAAGTAACTGATTACCTGGGGTTGACAAATGTGGCCCAAGTGGACAAACATTCTAGATAGCAAGCCAGCAACACCTTCTAGTGTCTTCTAGATAGTAAGCCACCAACACCTACATGAAAAGATTTGAGGGAGAAGTGGGCTACATGCCTAAACTACACATAAAAAAATATATAGGTATTATATATGTAATACATGTTACAGCATTCTGGGCCAAACGATACATAATATATCTACTTGTATTCATAAAGAAGAGACAAACAAATGTTCCGACTGTCTCTTAGGCTCCTGAGAGAGATTATACTCTCCAAGCAAGGTTTTTGGAAATGCCATTATAGCACTGGGGAATATGAGATCATGGTCTCTATCTTGAACAGATCTTTTAAAGCTCCTGTTTATTGGTCTCTGAATGAGGAGGAGGTATCACTAAGTTAAAGATTTGTTCACCCTCTGACTTCAAAAGGCCAGACCAAGTGGAGTGAAGAACCGACTTTCACTCTTAGCTCCTTATCCTTCTGTACTGTTTGGATGTTTTTACAAGAGCACGTGCGGCTCCTGTAATTGAAAATGGATCTCTTTTAAGGCAAAAGGGGCAAAGGAGGCCAGAGTCCTCTGGTATCTCATTTCTCATTCTAGGAAAGGTGAAATATACAGCGTTCCAGGGCCCTTCGACAGGCGTGTGTGGGCGCAGGAGGAGCGGGGACCCCCGCAGACGCGGCCGCCACGCTGGGCCTTCGCTCCCCAGAGTCTCCCCGCTGCTTTCGCCTGACCTCACGCGTGTTCCGGACAGGGATCCCGGGAGCAGCTGAAAAGCCTCCCTCTGCGCCCGGACCGCGGTAACCGCCGAGCCATAAATTCTCTGCGACCACCGCCGAGGTCGCCGCCCTCTGTCCTGAGGCCGAGCCCCTCGGGGCCGGCGCCCATCGATCCCTGCCCTAACGGCGGTGCGGCCCCGGGAGTGCCGCCTGCTGGCAGCTCCGCGTGCTTCGTGGCGGGGGGTCGGGGGGGTGGTGGCGCGGACCCTCAGAGTCTCCGAGGGGGTCAGCCGACCCGGACCTGGGGCCGGTGGAGTGCAGTGGCCGGGAGTCTCCCGCACGTGGGTTCGACGCCCGACTCCAGCGCGCACTCTCTCAGCTCTGTCCGCGCCCAGCCGCCGGCTGGCTGGGATGGTGATGGACCTTGTGCGGGGTGGACGCCGGGCCCCTCAGCACTAAACCGGAATGTGGAAGTCCTCGCCCCCCTGGCTGCCAGCGAATGGCTCTCTTACAAGACCAGACGATCGCCATCACCAGCCCGGCCCCGTTCCTCCCCTGGGAAGGGATCTTCTAGGCTTCCCGGAACCGGGATTAGGAGCGAGAGGATCCAGAGGCGAGGCAGGCCAGGAAGAGGAGACGCCAAGCGTGGTCTCGGCCTCCTTGGGGTGGCCCAGCTCGCGGAGAGCCTTCTGTGGGACTCTTTCTAGGTGGGTTGAAGGCTTCCCCTGCTCAGCCTGGCTGCCGGCTTGGCCCTGGGACCAAGAGGGAGAGACAAAAGGGGGAGGGAAAGAAAGAGAGGAAATGTGATTTTTTTTTTTTTGGTCTCCCGATGACTGTATTAATAAATTAAATGGGAGCGCCAGTGTGTGAGGGCGAGAGAATATTGCGCAGAGATAAACCTCGCCGGCCCCTGCCCCTGCGAGGCCGCCATATACAATGCGGAGATGATGAATAGGAGGCGCGAGAGGAGATCGAAGCGGGTCTGGGCCGGCTCCACTCTCTCCTACAAAACTATAGGGCAATTAATTGTGGCTTGTCCCCTCATCCTTCATCTCCTGGTGGCACATATCGATGGAGATTACTGCTGATGGACCATTTTATCACCTTAAATAAACAGTCGCCACCTCTCCTAACCTCAATCTAATATATGGCTCTATGTTCAGTTTCAGGGCACTAGATAACGGATGATGTAAAATAGCTAAATCATGTGTGTTCCGGGATGGGGCCTGGGCCTGCACACAAAAAGACAGAAAAAGAAAAAGAGAACGACACAATAGCCCACACTCCGACACCGAGCCGCCTCCCTCCCACCGAGGACCCGGTCTAAAATCTAAGTCGCTCGGGCCATTGACAGTGAGAAGTAGCGCAGCGAATATGTCTTGATGTCAGGAAAATCCCACTGGTTGGGTTATTGGGCTCGGGAGCTTCCCAAACAGGACAAGCGTTTTCCAACTGGGTGGGAAGAGATTAGGGAAGGTCAGAAAACACTCGTTCTCCTTTTATCTCTTCGCCCTGACCTCTCAACTAAACAAACCCCAGCTTTCCTTCTTTCTCCAGTATCTCTCCCCAAACCCTTGGAAAGGATGGTGCTACCAAGAGGGGAGCCTCGGGGCCCCAACTCCTACACCTGAGATCCAGCCAGTGCTGTTCCCACTGCCGTTCCTTGCACAGCAGGGCTCCCCGAAACATCTGAAGAGATGCAGACCTCCTGCTGGGGAAGCTGCGGAATGCCCGGACTCAATTCTCCGCAGGGAGACCCGGGACAGGCTTAGCTCCCACCTCTCTCCCAGGTAGAAGGGAGGATGATCTTAATCAAAAATTAAAAAGATATGAAGAGCAAAGGGGCTCGGCCAGCCGTTTCTGAACAAACACTAGCGTTCAGCGCGCCGCTTGGCTGCTGCTCAATACCTTCCAAGAAAAGTGACAGGGTCTCAACGCACTGAGCTCCCAGAATCCAAGAAGAGGCTGCCGCTGCAACAGAGCCTGACGGAATCAATGGCTTCAAGCAAACTGTCAGCAAATGAGGGCAGTAATACAGGAAGAGGACGGAAGGTCCCCCATCTCCCATTTACCTTACACAAGTCCCACCTGACTTTAAACAGATGCAAGAAGAGGCAACTAAGCATTGAGACGTTCGGTGGAAAGTGTACTTCAATTATAGAATGACTTCATACACAGAGTGACATATATACTAGAAGAGTTCACCGGGCTAGGCTAGATAGTTTCTGCTGTTTTTCAACCTTTTTATGTGTGAAACAGAGCTGCAACACCCTTCACTATGCCTTCCCTATGGCAGTTCCCATAGATGCCAATACAGTTTCAAGTGAAAGGAGTGCTACTGATTCACACGTGTTACTGCGTCGGTGATCCCAGGCAAGTTACTCTTCTAAAGGGAAAAGACAAGTCTGGAGGTGCCTTTGCCTTGTTAAAAAAAAAAAAAGACAAAACGACTCAATACCCTTTTACATACAAAGTAATAAAAACGAAGCAATGCTGAATGGTCACTTCACAGAATTCTTTTAGAGGGAAAGGGCAACAGACTAAAAGGAAAACTAGGAAGATCTATGCACGATAAATTAATAGGTGATTCCCTTCTGCCCATCTCTCACACCACCCCCACCCACATACAACCTGGGAATGGGGTGAAACTGTTTTTCACCATCTTTCAAGTGATATATCAACTTCCCCTGCCAAGGAAAAAAAACATTTCCCACTCTATGCATTTCTGATGTGTTTTGATCCTCTAGTTAGATTAAACTCAATTGCTTCTCACTTTGTCTTTGTAAAACACATCTCCTGGTTTCAAATGAGTGCTTACTCTTGCCCAAAGAAGTTCCTGGAAGCAAGGCACACCTGGTCTCCCGGCATTACACAGCCAGCCACCTCAGCTTTCTATTTTCTTTCTCAATTGCCTTTTAATTAGAGAGCAACATGAAGTGTAGCTCTAATAGGGGAATCTGACTTCCTTTCCTTCCTGTTCTTTCCTGTCCTTTGCCCACTGAAGCAGTCCGGTCGACTCAAAAGGAGATATCAGAAGATTAACACAATAGGAATAATTTAAATAAATCATAATTCATTTCCTCCAACCAGGAAAAATGGTACCTAGACAATAAACTGGTTTAACAATCATATTATTAATTAGGGCTTTGTCCCAGTTCTTTCTCTGATTAGTCCAGGTTTTTCTCTGATGGGAATGCATTAAACCTCAAGATTGCATTGTAAACACTATGGGGAGCTCAGCATACAGACAAGGTTTTAGGGGTGTACTGCTGGTGTCTTTTCCAGCACTGACTTAATTCAGAAGAAAGTCTGCAAGTTTGATGAAGCACTCTCAGCCCACAGTGACTATACTTCACCGAGTGGTAAGAAATACCTTTTTACTAAAGTATTAGCTTTTAATATTTTTATAGAAATGCTTTGAAAACAACACTATCAAGGAATGCAGTAGGCAATAAGTATTCTTTTTTGAAATCCATTCAGACAACATAGCTTTGTAGCATTTTCTGGAACTCTGAAATAGAATTTCCTTAACTGCAGAACAAATTTGAATCAAAACCCTCATTGTAAACCCAATACTTTAGCCTCAGACTCTAGAAAGGAAAAACGTAAATACAACTGCTCTTCTTATTAACAGTAATTGTCTCCATTGAAACAATTATCTCCAACTATCATGAAAAGGTTAATACATCTCAATCACTAGGATCATTCCCAGTGTTTTAAATCAAAGTAATAAATTTGGGAGTCCTTTCACTAACTACAACCTGTAGTTATTTTGTTTTTACAACGAATTAGGAAGCTTGCAGATTGGTAGACATTCTGTAAGAATAGACATGATCAAAATAGAATGATCATACACATTTGTAATCAACTTTGCTCACAGAGAAGCTAGACGAAGGAATGAGAGGAAGAAAGTAGCTGAGTGTTGCTCCTTCAAATCCTGAACTGCTTTCAATCTAACTCTCTTAACCTGCTTTAATGATCTCTCCTGGGGTCTCCAGAAGTGTATTTGCAACTTATCCCAACACAGAAAGTGTAAACATAGCATAACTTCTGAAATAACCAAAAAGAATTGGATATAAAACACAAATAATACACTCTTGATGTTCATTTAGAGTTTTACTTTAAAGCCTCAAAATGGAACTACACTTGTGATAAGGGTTTGAAATTGTGAATACAGGAAGGGACGCTGGAAGAAAACTGATGCTAATTCAGGCATTTTCCGTTTACGTGCGGACAAGAAGAATACGCTTCTTATACTAAATTACTATTACCCTCATTTAAAAATAACAATGTGTGAGCCCACAAGCGTGGCTACGGACTGTAAATGTTTGCAGGATCAAGGGTGCACGGAGAATGCGGGATCCGCAGGAAACGACCCTGGCCTGAAATCATAAATGTTTTCTCACTAAGTAACTGGCATTTCTTTTTCTTTTCCTTCTTCCCTAAAATAAATAGTAAACTTAAGAGTAATGCCTGCCTGCAGGGAGAGACTGACCCAGTGCCATCCAAAACTCCTACTAGAGGTCCGGCCAGCCAGCAGCTCCCTGCTGGTCCCCCGACAACCCCACGTTCGGAAAATGAACGGACACAGTTAACCCCAGAGGTAAGACAGAGAGAAGGAGAAATCAGCCCTGGAATCCACGCTCCCCAGAACCGCTGAGAGTTCCTGTCTTATCCCTCGGAAAGCCCGACCAGGCCGGTCCCGGGTCACTCCCATCGCGCGCTGCTAGAACTCGCCCGGCGCCGGGCGCAAAATGCCGCGGCAGGGCGGCGATCGGTACTGCTCGGTCCGCGGGAAACCTGGGTTTAAAGAATCGGGACAGGGAAGCAGGGAATGAGAGAAAGGGAAGAGGAAACCCATGGGAGCCACCCCGCCATCCTAGCCGTTCTCCTTCCTTCTCTAATCCAGAAAACTTTGGTCACAGTGGTCTGGAAGGTACGGGCCGCGGCCCGGACAGCCAATCACCCGGGGTCCCCTTCATCTGACGCGCCTCCCGGACGGGAGCCCGCGCTCGACAGAGCCAGCTCCCCGAAAGAGAGCGCGCCGGCTGCTGCTACGTACGGTTGTTGGGGTCGCTGGTGTGCTGGTTGAGCGGGATGATCTCCATGCGCTGCTGGCCGTACAGGTAATAGTCCAGCTCCTCCGCGCTGCAGCGGAAGCGCGGGGCACCCCGACCGTCCCCGCTACTGCCTACGCACTTGGAGGGCCCCGGGCCCGAAGTGGCGCCGAGGCACAGGTCCTTGGGGGGCAGAGGCTCCGCGGCGACGGCGGCCAGAGGCGCGAACACCGGTAGCTGCGCCACCGGCAGGGCCGAGAGACCGGCCAGCGCGGCGGCTGCGGCGGCGGCAGCAGCAGCAGCGCAGGAGGAGGCAGAGGAGGCCGAGGTGGAGGAGGAAGCCGGGGTGGACGAGGCGGAGGAGAGCGAGGCCGGCCGCGGGCGCAGGCTGTCTGGCTGGGGCTCAGCGCGCTCCGGGGGTGGCGGCGGCTGGAGAGGCTGTGGTGCGCCCAGCGGACCCGCGGCACCGCCGCCCTTGAGCGGGCCTCCGCCCCCGTGCGGGAAGAGTTGTTGCCAGTGTTGCAGATAAGCTGGGTCCACTTTGAGGAAGGCCGAGCCGCCGGGGTCTCCGGGCTTCAGCATGTCCGACGATTCAAGCTGGGGACAGAGGGCAAAGAGATGGGTGCTCGTTGAGCCGGACCCAGGGCCTGGTGCGAGACGGGAGGGGAGGACCACAGCCAAGACCCTGGAGCGAAGAGTGAGTCCTTGACTCCGCTAGCGACAGGCGGGTTTGGCGGCTCCCTCTTCCCAACTCGGTTGGGGCGGAAAGTTTACTCTGAAGCCGCGGCGTCGCGCGAGGGTAGCTGTGTGCACCCTGCCTTGCCTCCCCGCCCGAGGCGCCCAGCGCCCACCCTGTACTGTCGAAGCCGGGCGTGAGGGCGCTTCCCCGCGGAACTCCGCGGCAGGACTCAACCCCCGCCCTCTGCCGGCGCTCGAAGCCGGCCCGAGCCCGAGCCCGAGCGGCACAGCGCCTGAGCCGCGCTGGCCTCCGGCGCCAGGAGGCGGGACAGTCTCACCACCTCCCCCCACCCCACCCCCCCAGCGCGGGACCTCCAGCCTCCTATTTCCGCGGCCCAAGACCCTCAGACCTAGACGAGCCACGCTTACCGGAAAACTCGGAGCTGCCCGGTGGGTTTGTGCGTGCGTGTGTCTTGGCAAGCGTGCAGGAGAGTGTGCGCCCCCGGTACGCTACATGCCCCTGAGCAGCGCGGGAGCAGAACACTAGAGATCCGACTCTCCGGGACCCTCCGGGGCCACAAGCTAGGGATGTGGTGGAGGCCTGCGGAAGGCGTGAGAGCAGTTACTCCGAGCGCTGGAGTGCGAGGCGGATCAGGGCGCTGGACCGTGCAGCGGCGGCGGGCTCTTGGCCGCTGCCGCGTCCCGGCTCCTCCGCTCCACGCTCTGGCAGCCTCCCGGCTGGACACGTGGGTTTTACGACAGCACAAAATACAAGTGTGTGTGCATGTGTGTGTGTGAGAGAGAGCGAGCGAGCGAGAGGAGGGATGGGGGTGGGGGGAGGCGGGAGGCAGGCCAGAAGAACCGAGGGGAGGGGAGAGGGAAGAAGGAAGTTCTAACTCGGGTGTATCCACACACAGCTCTTGCGCCTCTCTCGCACAAATACCCGCTCTGCCCTCCCACCCCCAACTTTTTTTTTTTTTTTTTGGCGTGACGTCTCCAGTTCTCCTGTTGTCTCTTTCTGACCATGATATATCTTTTCTAGGTGCCGGCTCACTGCCCTGGTCCTGGAAGCAGTGGAAACGCGGAAACCAGAACGCATCTCTGCACTCGCTCGGGTGTCGGCATCCGGGCGAGCGCGCGCGGCCGGGCGAGTGGGACCAAGTCCCGGCAGTGGGTTTGCGCTTTTGCCGGGCTCTGTTTTCCTCAGGAGTACTGCTGGGTGCCAGAGTCGGCTGGCCCGCCACGCAATCTCTAACATAAATCTTGGTGGAGGTGGGAGTGAAGGGGGAGTCCGGGGTGGGGTGGGTTGCAAGCTGGAATGCAATTCAGTCGGCAGTCGAGGAGGCTGTCTTTGAGAGGTGGAAGGCGTGAGACCGAGAGGCTCTCTAAAGGGCACCGGTCCTGGCGGGACTCAGGCCTGGCCGCGGGGCTGAAAGGAGGCTGCAGTGGAGTTTCACAGCGCCCAGCCCTCAGCCCACCCGCTCTCGAGTGCTCTTCCTGGGAGGCTGGCTCCTTTTCCCTTTTGGCATGCAAGGCAAGTATCCCGAGCTACGTCTGGTGGTACAAGTGCTCCGGACACAGGCGAGGCTTATTTGCCCCCGGAGGGGTCTCTCGCCCCCCAAAACCTGGTGTTCGAGGTGCGGGGTGGGAGCGCAACCCCACCCCCATCTTACCTCCTCCCCGCGCCTGGACCGTGGCAGCCCTTCCAGGCGTGGTTTCACATCCAAAGATTAGACACCCGCCACCCCCAGCTCTTCAAGGCATTCACATTAGTCAGGTAGGCAGAGGGCACCGGACCGGCTCGGGCGCTTTCCCATCACCAGAGTTCTGTCCACACCTCACAGAGAAGAAATAACATTCATCTCCCCCACCCCCAAACAAACCAATTTACTTAGCACCTGCCACTCTGAACAATTAATAGCCATTCTTTCCTGATTTCCTCTTGTTTCTTTTTGTCTTCCCACGACTCATTTTTTCTGAGCCTGGGAAACGCGCTGTTTAGACTCTGTCCGGGTCTCACGCAGGATGCCTCGGTGCTGGTTGGTACGGAGTTGGACCGAAAATATTTTGACTGGCGTCGCCGTGACAAGGTCATCAGTCATCCCTGAAGAGATTGATAGGACCCTAGTTTAAGGCAAACACCGCGAGGGAAAACCCACGGTGCTGTGGACCCCCGAGGCGAGCCACGCAGTCTCCGCCGACTTTGAACGACTCCGTCGGGAGGAGAGGGGGAAGGGCTAGGCCCCTTTAATTCATCTGACCGCCGACTGCCGAAGAGCAGCCGTCCGTTGGGCCATGGGAGAAGAGGCATACTGTCTTTCTCATGTTCTTTTTGTCTGTTCTCTGGAACAAAGGCAGAGGACCGAGGCTCCGAGCCCGGACACCGCAGCCACGGTCCCGCCGCCTCCTTCTTTCTGTGCAAACCCGCTACTTAACAAGTGCTCGGTCCCCAGAACTAGCCGCCCCGAAGAACTCCTCCTAAAACTGACCTCCAAACACACTTCAAAATCTCAGGATTTGGGAACTGGCAACTACTGGCAACAACTCCCAAGGCCTCTTGCCGCGCACGCTCTGGGAAACCCCGAGAGTTCCCTTCCTAATAAGACTAGCTGACCGTCTGTGAGAGCTTTCGACAGGCCAGGTGCGGGCAGAAGCTTCAGGTCCGCCCTGCAACCACTCGGAGAAAGCTTTATCATTCACCCCATATTACAGATGGGGACGCTGAGGCTCAGTCAGGTTTGGTAGATTGCCTGAGGTCACATTAATGAGTGATGGAGGCAGATTCAAACCCGGGTCAGTGCATCTTCCTGCCCACACTAGTCCGGAAGGACTGACGCCAGATGTGTATTGCGGCACCATGGGGGGAGATTTGGCTCCTCTTGCTGCGAGGAGGGGGTGGGGCGTGGAGGGCATGGGGAGAAGTAGAAACTAACCGAGCCCATCTCTCTCTCTCTGCTCCCTTGCGGTATTCCTGACCTGCCAGATTTGAGGACCACCCTCCACCCCCAGCGGCCCCAGCGTGCTTTGAAACCTAGGGCCCAAAGGCCTTAGGGAACCAAGGGTCAGCTAAAGGAGTGGGTTAACGTTAAAGGGGGCTCTCAGAAGGCCGGCAAGTCCAGGAGCGCACGAAAAGCTCTCGAGGGGAGGGTCTCCGGGATCCGAGCCTCCCCAGCAGGCCCGTGAGGCGGGGCGGGGCCCAGCTCCCACCGTGATCTGCGCGAGGCCGGCAGGGGCTCAGCAGAGGCAGAGGGTCAGCGCGGTCCCACCCCGGGGCGCACCGTCGCTGCCTACTCGGGACAGCAGGCGCCCCGGGCCGTTTTCCGCTCACCCAGCTGATCCCGGACTTCTTTGTCACAGGCCACCCTGGCACGTCTCCGAAGTTTTCAAAAAGTGAGCCCACCGGTCTGCACCCCCTCAAACCCGCGCCCCTGCTCTTCATTATTTAGAAGACCAATGAAACAAATCACTTCGACCACTTAGGAAGCGATCAAAGCTTTATAAAAATCCATCGCTCCCAAATCGATGGGTGAATATTTGCTGGGAATTTGTTCCAGAGGAATAAATAAGGAGCGTGAGTGTATTAAATGCAAACGGGGGACACGGTGGTGTTTTTCTTCATTGATTAATGACCTCTAAAATAAAACAAGTGGGAAGAGGAGCCAGGATCGATAAATTAACCACCCAAATTCATCATTTTCTCGAGCATTTTTTTCCCCCAGAAAATTATCCTTCGGAAGCCATTGGACCCTTAAGCTTGGAGGGGGAACTGGTGGGTGGGGATGGGGACTGGGCAGAGGGCGAGAGGCAAGAAGGGGCAGGAAAGCAAAAAGAGAATTCTGTCCCCGGGACTCCCTATCTGATTTCGTTTGACATACAGTTTTAAGGTTTGCCTTTTATATTAATATTTGTTTTTTCCTGATGGAGGAGGGGAACAAATGGTCCGTTGCCTTTGACAGGACTCCAATAAAGAATTCAGCAGCTCTCCCCTCTGCCCTCCATGCTCCTTCTTCCAGGCTTTAAGGTCATGGGTGACTGAGTTAATAATTCATTAATATAGACATTTATTCAGACGGGTTCTCTGAGATCCACTCTCCTGGCCTCCTCCCAGAGATTTATTTTCCTGGGAAATGGATGGGGGTGGGAGGGACTGCAGGTGAAAAAGGGGGAGGAGAAAAAGGAAGCCGGACCCAGGAAAGATCTTTGTTTATTTAGCCAGATTAGTGGACAGATGCCTCTACCCTGCTGTTAAACACCTGGCTGAAAATGTGGCATCCAAACTGCACAGGGACTCTGCCTCTAGCAGTGCTTTTCCCTACTTTTACATCTCTTCATTCATTGTTCTGAAAGCGCCATCCCTCCATTCTTTAGGAAGGGGTGAACCACCTAACTGAGGACGTGGGCGTGCAGGCAAAAGGGGGGAACCTCTGAAAGGAGACTAGCCTACCCCCCCAACCCCCCTCCCCCCACCCCTATGACGTTACCTTTGCAACTTGCCCAGACCTGGGATCCCAAGGAGGCTCCCCACTCCTAAGGAACAAGCAGCTTCTGGTGGGGATTCTAGCTCCTCAGAAAGGGGCTGTGGGGGCTTTAAAGCAAGATGAACCCAAAAAAGTCCAGGTCCCCATGAAGATCACTTTGTAGGGAGTAGAGACAGATAAATGATAAACAAGTAATTGTCAGATGGGAAGAAGTGTTATGGAGAGCAGGACAGAAAGGATGAGAGGAAAGACGAGAGCAGTAGGTGGAGAGTGTTACTGTTTTAAATCTAGTGGTCAGAGAAGACTTCTCTCATAGATGAAATTTGGGTGGAGAGTTAAACAAGAGGATGCCAGTTTTGTGCCTGGAGTGGGGACATTCCCTGCCCTTACCTGTGCCTCAGTGGTGAACACTGTGAAAAGGGCTTCCCCAAAGAGCGCCCAAGATATGGGAGAAGGCTCCTGCCTCATCAACCTCGGGCCACACCTGGTCCCCCTTGCTCCTACCTCTTCCCAGCTCGTTCCCACAAGACGCTATGAGCTACTCAGTATCCTTTCAAATACATCTGTTCACTATATCAGCTGAAGTCACCTGTGCTGCTGGTGACTTAAACGTTACACAGTGACCTATTCCCAACTGCCCTGAGCCGCAGTTTCTTCCATGGTCAAACAAAAGGATGGCACTAATGTAGCTGTCTACTCTAAGCTCTTTGACAAGCGACTCTTCAATTCTGCCCTCCCTCTCCACTACCCATTTTCTGCCCCCACCCCCTGGGTGCCATGAGTCTAAGGCGTGTGGGGTGAAGAATGTATTTGAGAAACTCACACCATTTACTTGGATCACTGCCCTCTTCCAATTGATCCCTTTGCATCTTTACTTGTATGTCCTTACTCCATCTTAGAAAACAGTGCCAGCTACCTTCAGAAAGCAGAAGTGTGAGGAGGAAGATACAGGAGAAGAAGATGCATTAGAGATTAGCCTGGACAAGTCAGCTCTTCCCACCAAGCTGCATGAATGCCGCCATTTTTCTGAGGCCTTGGCAGTTTTGTACATGTCATCTCCTCGGCTTTCCTCCTGTGACAGCTGTCCTGGGAAGGCATGCTCCTCACTTGGCCATGTCGAAGATGGCCAGTGGGGCTGAGGCACAGAGCTCAATCTATCTTCCAACCACTCTCCCGCCCTCCGTTCTCTGCCGAGATCACTGCAGACAGCGCCTGTTCACTTCACTTGAACGCAGCCCAGCCCTCCAGCTCCTCTCATCTTGGTCACCCGACAGCTGTCACTCAAACAATGCTTGTCAGCCACCCCAGACCTGATTTGGATTTGACCTACTGACCTCGAGGTGGAAGGCTCGACAGTCCATTACAAATCCCCAGGGGCCGGTTCATCCTCCCAGGAAAGCCTCTAAATATATCCTTTCCGTTTGCAGGGAAATCAGCTATTATTTGCAAAGGCCTCATGCAGTTTAAAACGCAGTTTAGTCCCATAAAGATTTAATGAATACCCAATGTGTGAAAAACAGCTGCTCTTTTTAAAAAAAAGTTATTGGTAAGTAAAGGAAAAGAGTAATAATTAGACAAAGGGAACTGGCCCTTCAGAAACTCACATTTTCCCTTCATTATCTCCTTTGCAGCCACTTGTCCCCTTATACTTTATTCTTCCATTTGTCAAAGAATCTCTAAGAAGAGACAAGCCTGATGGCAGTTACCTACTTACAAAGTAACAGCTACAAATGATATCTAATGAGCACCTACTGTGTGCAAGCAACTGTTGGTAGGGATGTTTAGGACCACCTCCTATGAAACTCTTCCAGCAAATGCTACCTGGTTCTAATACAATCTTCCTTTGGTGACCGGTTTGTCACCTCAGTTGAAGCCTGTAGGCTTTAAATTATAATCAGGATGAGGCAAGCATATTGCCGTGCATCTGTTTGAAATTAGGAACATATGCTGTGGTCGATTCACATTCTGAGGGTTGGTGGGTCCTAGTGCGTGGTGAATTCCCTGAGTGTTCCACAACAGTCTCGAAGAGCCAGGATGGCCTACAGGTAGCCTCAGAAGTGAAGGGGCCCTGAGGCCTTCCCCCCCACCAGCCAGCCTGAGGAGAGAGGACCCACAGTCCCACAGAGGCTCTTATGAATGCCGATGGGAACCCTGGAAACCTGTCTGCTCTCTCAGCCTACACTCTCCTGTCTGGACTAGTGCCCACCCTTACCCTCTGAGTTAGTGGGTCAGATGATGACATGAAGGCTTATTATTACTGTATTATTTTGGTGAGTTTCTGTTCACTGTGTAAGAGCTTCTCAGTTAAAACAATAATCACCACCACCTATTCTCAGCTTCCTTTTTGGAACCAGAAAATCTCTCTTTAAAATAAAGACTCTATGGAAGTTGCTGTGTGTGCATGTGTGCTAAGTCACTTCAGTTGTGTCCGACTTTTTGTGACCCCATGGACTGTGTAGCCCACCAGGCTCCTCTGTCCAGGGCAAGAATACGAGAGGGGGTCGCTATGCCCTCCTCCAGGGGATCTTCCCAACCCAGAGATCGAACCCACATCTCTTGCATTGCTGGAAGATTCTTTACCACTGAGCCACCAGAGAAGCCTGGAAGTTGCTGTGGGGAAAACCAAAAGAGCGTAAATTGCAGTGCCAGTGTCTTTAAGGATCTTATACTGGGGAAATCTTTCAAGAACTCAGCTTTCCCTCTCTAGTTCCTAGGACCTGGAACCAGTGCATGGCATAACAGATCACAAGAGGAAGCTACCACTTTAGGTGAGGAGAAGATCAAGCAAAGTTTCACAAATGAGATGAGCCATAAAATTTTCCCCTGCATTCAGGCAGGGAAAGAGGAACTGAGGAAAGGGATCCTAGATCAGGGGAGCTGCCTGAGCAAATGAACTGTCTGTACAAACAAACTGGCAGGGCTGGAGACTTTTTTTCTCCATTCATAACAATAACAATTGTCTGGCTGACTGCTTCCTCTCCAAGGGCCAGAACACCATCTCCTTGGGGGGCCCTGCAGTCATATTCCATAGAGTCAGAAAGATGTTTTTCTGAGAGGATCCTGACCCAATATGCTCAAGTTCAAGTCTGAAATCAACTCACAATTAAGATAACTGAAAACCAGTTGAGGGTTCCA